CTTTGAAATCGGATGGTGTTTTTCGTAGCAGCCCAAGGGGTTGGTTTACTTTTGGACATGCTTCGTTTGCTTTGCTCTTCTTCTTCGGACACATTTGGCATGGTGCGTCAACCTTGTTCAGAGATGTTTTTGCTGGTATTGACCCAGATTTGGATGCTCAAGTAGAGTTTGGAGCATTCAAAAAACTTGGGGATCCAACTACAAGAAGACAGCCAGTCTGATACAAGACTGCCACTTTTGTCTCTTTCGCCTTTCTTTTTTGAGTGGAGTGAATTTGAAGAATTTTTGATTCTTGCTCTTTCGAAATGATTCTCAAAATGAAAAAACCAGGTTTGGGAAGCTATAATTGTAAACCGCGATCAAATTTATGGAAGCATTGGTTTATACATTCCTTTTAGTTTCGACTCTAGGGATAATTTGATTCGCTATCTTTTTTCGAGAACCGCCTAAAGTTCCAACTAAAAAGAACTAAAACGACAAAAGAATTTTTCATTATCTCAATTGAAGTAACGGGCCCCCTGTATGGGGAGGCTCATTACTTCAACTAGTCCCCATGTTCCTCGAATGGATCTCTTAGTTGTTCAGAAGGTTGCCCAAAAGCGGTATATAAGGCGTACCCGGTAAAACTGACAAGTAAACCAGATATAAAGATGGCGACTAGGGTTGCTGTTTCCATTATGATTATTTATCTAATTTCAAGACCTCGACGGATCTATCATAAAATCGTTTATTTACAACGGAATGGTATACAAAGTCAACAGATCTCAATGAATAGAATAGGATTTATGGCTACACAAACTGTTGAGAACAGTTCTAAATCGGCCCCAAGACGAACTACCGTAGGGGGTTTATTAAAACCATTGAATTCAGAATATGGTAAAGTAGCTCCGGGGTGGGGAACGACCCCTTTGATGGGTGTCGCAATGGCTCTATTTGCGATATTTCTATCTATTATTTTGGAGATTTATAATTCTTCCGTTTTGTTGGATGGAATTTCAATGAATTAAATCTATAAGAATCACAAAGATCTAGCCTCAAAAAGAAAAGGGTTGGCTTGAGAACAAAGCGAAGCGAAGTGAAGTCAAAGAGTCAATTGAGTTATCATATCACTTATCACTTTTGTTACTCCGAGGCTCGATTACATTGACCTTTCTTTACGCCGTCTGAAAGTAGCAAGTAAGACAGGACGGACTGGTAGGGGCGATGAGAGAGGAACGGCAGCAAGCACGGCAAGCTCCCTTGTGTTGAAAGACCGAGTATGTCGATAGTGAAGAACCAGCTGTTGTGCTGGTTCAATAGGTCCATTGGAAGGAAGTACGATACAGCTGCCCATGGTCTGAGCGAGAGAGTAGGCG